ATGGAGGAGGAGGAGGAAGAGGAAGAGGAAAGAATGGAGGAGGAGGAAGAGGAAAGAATGGAGGAGGAGAGGGAAGAGGAAGGAATGGGAGAGGAGGAAGAAGAGAAGGAAAGAATGGAGGAGGAGGAAGAAAGAAGGAAAGACTATTCAGTCTTCCAAACCATGAATGTAGCATAATTCTCCATTTGTTCAGGTTTCCTTTAATTTCTTCCAGAGACATTTTATGGTTTTTCAGTGCATAGTTGTTGCACATACTTTGCTAGCTCTAACTCTAGATTTCTAATGATTTGGGGGTACTTATTTTAAGTGGTATTACAATTTTAAAACTTTATTTTCCAGATGTTAATTATTAGCATTTAGAAATACAATTGATTTTTTTTTTTTTGAGAGAGAGAGAGAATTTTAAAATTTAATTTTTAGTTTTCGGCGGACACAACATCTTTGTTTGTTTGTGGTGCTGAGGATCGAACCAGGGCCGCACGCATGCCAGGCGAGCGCGCTACCGCTTGAGCCACAACCCCAACCCTACAATTGATTTTTGTATATGAACGTTTTATTCCATGACCTTGTTAATTTCACTAATCAGTTTTTCTGTTAATTCCTTAGGACATTCTTTGAATTTATCAAGTGTATAAAGCAGATTAGACCAGTAACCATTTTAAACCTGCCTTGCCTTCTATGTGCATATGCTTGTTCATTTTTGAAACACATACTGGAAAGCTCTAGTATGTTAGGGTGCATCTTTGTGTTAGGTGTGATTGGGCCCTATAGAAATAGAGAGTCAAGGAACTCATTGTCTAAAGAAGGGTATAGATAAGAAACTTGACTATGATAAAGTAAGATGACCATAGTAGTAAATATAAGCCAGGCTTCCCAAAGACCTTTGGTTTCTTAATAAATAATCTGCTTTGAGGGCATCTAAAATGATAAACAGACATTTCTAAGCTATTGACAGAATGAAAATGCTAATTATAATTCATAAATATCCTACCTAACTTTTTAAATCAACTTTCAAGCCATAAAGTCATATAATTTAAAAGAAAAACAACATCCAGGCTGGGGATGTGACTCAAGTGGTAGCGTGCTTGCCTAGCATGCTTGAGGCACTGGGTTCAATTCTCAGCACCACATAAAAATAAAAATAAAGATATTTGTCCACCTAAAACTGAAAAATAAATATTAAAAAAAAATCCACCTGACATCCTAACATTTTCATCATTTTCCAAGCCATGAATTCATAGAAATTAAAGGCAAAAGGGAACTTAAAAATCAGATATTGCAATCCACCTTTCTTTATAGATAAGGAAATAAGAATTGGGTCCAACTTACACAATGAATTAGTAAACTGAGAGAATATTCCTATTGCCTATACCAAGACAGCCCTCAAAAACTGGGTACTTACTGATGGCCAATTATGTTTATATTTCCTTATTTACTCTGTATCTCCTGTGCATCAGATACTATCCTAGTGACTAAATATATGAAAAAGTAATAAGATTGTATATCTGCATGCTAAGAATGCACCATTTAGTTGGGGAAACAGATAAGTAAAGAGACAATTATAAAAAGTGATTTTTTAAAAGTAGTTTTCTTTAGGGATCATTTGTTGCAAGACATACAAATTTACTGAATCTAGCTTGAGTTAAGAGGTTTATCTTTTGTAAGAACATCAGGAAATTGTATGGATCATGACAGCAAGAAGTACAGACTCACTTCACTAGAAATAGAATGGTTGCTTCTTCATCTTTCCCTCTTTTCTGCATTCCTTCCTCTCCATTTATCTTCAAATCTTTATATCTATTTTTCTTTCCCTAAGGAATATTTTTCTGCTCATTCATCCACTTATTCATTCACTTTGGCTACCCCCAAATATCAGCCTCAGATCTTAAGTCCATTTGACTTCATACTTTGAAATCATCTCTATATTTAATTGATTAGGTTTCTGGATCTCCAACTCCAGACTTTCAGGAGAGAACATTTGTCCCTACTTGTCTACTCCTTATCCCCGCAGCCTCTCATAGGCTATAGGAGTGCAGAGTTTCTAAGAATGTGGTTGGAAAGAAATGATGGGTATTACTAGACCACAAAGGTATGTAGGTAAGTGGTAAAGTCCCATTCTATTTGTTCCTGTTATATATTCTTAAGAAAGTTTTTTTCTTTCTTTTTAAGGTTTGAATGTTTCAAGATGAAGAACTCAGTCAACTACCATCTACTTTTTACTCTAGTTCTATTCAGTTTATTAGTAACCACAGTAAGTCATATTTTGTCTCTAACAGATTAAGCATATGAATTTGTCGTTTATGGAGAAAACATTTTGCTTCCTGTATTTGCTTGAAGCTGTTCAAACTGAAATGTTTCTACATATAATTGGAATATATCATTTTCAGATATTGCTTCTTTGTTTCCAAGTGTTATTTTTCCTTATAATTGAAATAACTTTTGTAATGTTTAATTTTTTAAAGGAAGAAAGGTCAAAAAGTAAATATTTAGTTACTAACAATGGAGAAAAATTAACTTTTATCATGAATGGACATATTACCTCCTATTTGTTAAAGAAATTGGCTCCACTTCATTGGATCTAGTGTGACTATTTTAATGGTTAACGTTTTCCTAGTAACTTGAGGTAGCCAGTCACTTCTGATTCTTATCCTACCTTGTGCTTTTCTTCCTCAAGTGAATTGCATTTTGTATTAAGAAAATATTAATTTAAACAAACACTTCAGGAAAACCTACATGTCAGGCACAGGAAATACAGAGGTGCCCAAGAAGCAGTTACTATCCATAAAGAATTCATTCTATTAGAGAAATTAAACTTGTAAATAAAGAAATGTATCAAAAGATAATAACTGAAATACTAGAAGTAAATGTTAATTATATGTGATGAGGTAAAAGAAAGCCAATCAAGACTGCTTGAGTATTCCTTATATCCCATAGATATGTGTGTATTTTTATGTTTTTATGTATCAATTAAAAATAAATTTAATTTTTTAAAAAAGTCTACTTGAGTAGGTCATGGAAGGCTTCAGAGAGAGGAGGCAGTTGAGTTAGATTTTGACTGATAATTGAAAGTTCATCCAGCCCCTGGGCAACAGTGTGGCGAAACATTTTGAAATAGTCTTTCTTATGTCCATGGGTATAAAACTCTGGAATCACATAGAGAATTACTGTTTTTAATGATTTACTAATGTCAGATATTGTACTGAATACTTTACCTTTATTGTTTTCATTCGTCACCAGTAGAATTGGGAAAGATTTTATATAGGTGGACATATGATAAGTGGGGAGTAGTAAATGAGCTTAATGAATTAGGTTATAAAGCTCATTGTTTGCCAGGTCTTACAATTTTAATTTTTATTGTCAAGGCAATGGAGAGCCATTAACTGGCTTAAAGGAGAGAAAAATGTAATCAGATATGTTTAAGAAAGATTACACTGGTTATGGAGGATGGGGAGGAATAAGGGTTAGGGATATGAGACTCAGACTTTAAAGTAACATATAGGAATGAAAAAAAAAGCTGACATAAATACCTATCTATGGGATCTGTGGTCCACTGAGTAGAAAAGATGGAACTAGAGTTTAAAAGGATTTGTTAGAATGGCTCCTCAGTTTATGGCCTGGCTGCCAGTAAATGTAGTATGCCCTTAACCATGATAGGAAACTTGGAAGATGGGCAGCTTTTTCAGGAAATTTAATGGATAAGTTCGTATCATGGCATAGAGGTAGGTAAATTCAATTTAGAATATGTTGGGTTTGAAGCTCCCAGCATTAATAACACCTGAGGCTTAGCAAGTAGTCTGGTCCAAAGATGTAGATTTGGGAGTTGGAAGGGTATAGGTAGACTAGATAGGTGGGGATAGATGAACTGGCACAGAAATAGCATAGACCATTATGATGACTAAAGATAGAATCCTACAACTACAGATAGAAGAGATAGAACAAGCAAAGCAGTCTGAGAAAAGTAATCAGATATATATAGGAAAGCCAAGAGCCCAATGTAACAGGAATTTTTAGAGTGAAAAGTGAATAATAAGTATTAGTTTCCTCTGAATGGATGTGAATAAAATGAAGATTTAAACCCAATAGAAATTTTGAATTAGAAAACCAAGTAATCTAAATGAGAATATTGTCACCAGTAAATTGATGAAGGAAGAAGCTATATTCCAGTTGTTGAGATGGTAAATAAAAGGGTGAAAGAGCACATATGCAGTATTTTCTTGAGTTTCTAAGTTTTGCCTAAACTACATGCTAGCTAATGATGAAAGAATCCTAGAAGAGGTGAAAAATAGTCTTGTTACTGTTTAAAGAAGAGAATGAAGTAAGTCTAGAGAGTGTCAGTGACTTGCCTTGCCAGCCAGGTTTATATAAAGAGTAACTACATCTTAAAGAGTAACCACATCATCTCTTAACTTACAAAGTGATCCAATATTGTCAGAGACAATATTGGATCACTTTGTAAGTTAAGAGATGATGTAGTTAGGAACAGGCTTTGGAGCTGGGCATGGTAGCATGGGCCTATTATCTGAGCTATTCCAGGGGGTGAGGCAGAAGGATCACAAATTTGTAGTCAGCCTGAGCAACTTAGGGAGACTGTGTCTCAAAACAAAATTTTTTTAAAGGATCTGAGGTTGTAGCTTAGCTGGCATGCACAAGGCCCTGGGTTCAATTCCTAGTACTGCAAAAGAAAAAACAAACAAAAAAAGGCTTTGGAATCAATGAGATCTGAGTTTATATCTAACACTGTTACTTAGTAACTGTGGGACATTGGGCAAATTACTTAATCTCTTTCAGCCTTAGTTTTCCTTACCTATAAAATGTAGATAACAATAGTATACATTTCATATTAGTTCTGAAAATTAATATTGGCAAATAGCAAGGACTTCATAATTTTCTTCCTTTAAAAAAATGTATCTTCAAGAGCATGCCCTTTTGTATTTTTTTATTAGTAGCTATAAGAATATGCTTTAACCATACAAAGGCAAATTAGTTGTTTCGTTTGGTGCTGGGGATCAAACCCAAGTTCTTGCTCATGCTAAGCATATAATCTATCACTGAGCTACACCCTCTAGCCTCAGAAATCACTTACTTTGAAATAAGGAATTCAGAGATTAAAAGCATTTTCCTTTGCCAAGTTTAAAGTTACTGAGATTATATCTATCTATCTATCTATCTATGTCTCAGACACATTATTTTAACGCCTTTTCAAAGGAAATAATTTGATCACTTTGTAGCTAGAAACTTACTGCAAAAATAAATAAACTTGGTAGCCAAATTGTATGAATTTGTGAAACTTTATTAAATCATTACATTAAATGAGGATATAAAGATATTTACAACCAGTCCTTTCTATCAAAGAAATTCTTTTCTTGCACAGAGAGAGAGAGAGAGAGAAACTAAATGCCATAAAGTTAGTACATGGACAGTGATGGTGGGAAGGAGGCATACTTTGAGTTGAATCTTTTTGTTGTTGTTGTTTTTCTAATTAGCTACACATGACAGTAGAATGTATTTTGACACATCATACATAAATGGAATATAACTTCTCATTCTTCTGGTTGTCGTGATATAGAATCACACCAGTCATGTAATCATATATGCACGTAGGGTAATAATGTCTGATTCATTCTACTGCCCTTCTTACTCCCAAACCCCCTTCCCTGCTTTCACTCCCCTCTGCCTAGTCCAGAATACCTCTGTTCTTCTTTAACTATCCCCCTCCTTTTAATTAGCATCCGTATATTAGAGAAAACATTCAGCCTTTGGTTTGGGGGGGATTGGCTTATTTCACTTAGCATAATATTCTCCATCCACTTACCTGGGGAATGCCATAATTTCATTCTTTGTTAAGGCTGAATAATACTTCATTGTGTATATATACCACATTTTCTTTATCCATTCATCTATTGAAGGGCACCCAGGTTGATTCCATAGTTTAGCTATTGTGAGTTGAGCTGCTATAAACGTGGGTATGGCTGCGTCACTGTAGTATGCTGATTTTAAGCCCTTTGAGAATAAACCAAGGAGTGGGATAACTGAGTGTTTCCATTCCAAGTTTCCTGAGGAATCTCCATACTGCTTTTCATAGTGGTTGCATCACTATGGCCATTTTCACAATATTAATTCTGCCTATCCAGAATGGGAGATCATTCCATCTTCTAAGGTTTTCTTCAATTTCTTTAGTATTCTGTAGTTTTCATTGTAGAGGTCTTTTACTTCTTTTATTAGGTTGATTCCCAGGTAGTTTTTTGTTGTTGTTGTTATTGGGTTTTTTTTTTTTTTGAGACTACGGTGAATGGGATAGTTTTTCTAATTTCTTTTTCAGCAGATTCATTATTGGAATATAGGAATGCAATTTATTTATAGGTATTGATTTTGTGTCCTACTTCTTGGCTGAATTAATTTATTAGTTCTAGAAGATTTCTAGTGGAATTTTTTTTGCATCTTCTAAATATAGAATTGTGCCATCAGCAAATAGTGATAATTTGAGTTCTTCCTTTCCTATTCATAACCCTTGAATTTCTTTCTTCTGTATATTGCTCTGGCTAGAGTTTCAAGGATGATATTGAATACAAGTGGTGAAAGAGGGCATGCTTGTCTTGTTCCAGTTCTTAGAGGGAATGCTGTCAGTTTTTCTCTGTTGAGAATGATGTTGGTCTTGGGCTTAGCATATATAGCTTTTACAAAGTTGAGGTATATTCCTACTATCCCTAGTTTTTCTAGTGTTTTGAACATGAAGGGATGCTGTATTTTGTCAAATGCTTTTTCTGTGTCTATTGAGATGATGATCTGATTCTTGTCTTTAAGTCTGTTAATGTGATGAGTTACACTTATTGATTTCCATGTATTAAACCATCCTTGCATCCCTGAGATGAACCCCACTTGATTGTGGTGCACTATCTTTTTAATATGTTTTTGTATGTAATTTGCCAGAATTTTAATGAGAATTTTTGCATCTGTGTTCAGGGATATTTTGGTCTGAAGTTTTCTTTCCTTACTGTATCTTTGTCTGGTTTTGGTATCAGGGTGATAGTAGCCTCATAGAATGAGTTTGGAAGGGTTTCTTCCTTTTCTATTTCATGGAATAATTTGAGGAGTATTGGCGTTAATTCGTCATTAACGGTCTTGTAGAACTCAGCTGAGAATCCATCTGGTCATGGGGTTTTCTTGATGGATAGGCTTTTGATAGTATCTTTGAGTAGAATATTAACAGATGAGTATTTGCCAGCAGGGGAACATTTCTGAACAAAGAAAGGAGAAGCATGTTTAAAGTTACAAAAGCATGAAACTAGTACATCTGAAGAAGCACAGTACTTTTCGGAACAGAGGATGAGAAGGAGACAAGAAGATAGCAGTGAGGCCAAACAGAAAGGCAGGAATTGTAGGAGACCCTGAGGTCAAGCTAAGAAATTTGAACCTTGTCTGTAAGTGATGAGAGTCATTAAAGGGTTGTGATTTGAATTTTGATTCCTCTGTACCACATCATTTAAAAATTGTGCTCTTGGGGCTGGCGTTGTGGCTCAGTGGTAGAGTGCTTGCCTAGCATGTGTGAGGCTCTGGGTCAGAATCTCAGCACCACATATAAATAAATAAAATAAAGGGCAATGCACGCATGTTAAATATTAATCAGGCATTGGGCTTAAATAATCTGTGTGACACTGGATCCTAAAATTAGAAATTGTATAACTTGGAATGCATCTAGGTGATCGAACAGATTAAGAGCAAAAGAGTGAACAGGTAATTTGTTTTAAATGTCTTCATTTATTGAACACACCTACTGCGTGCTAGATACTTTCATGTATTTTAGCTTGTCATTCCTCTCCACTATTACTCTTTATTACCCAGATAAGATGAAATGGATCTTTTGATTCACTGACTCCGCCCATGGCCTATAACAAATAAGTGTCAGAGTTTAACTCCTATCTCTAAATCGTTCAGTGTTCTTTCTACTATAGAATAGATGTAGTACAGGAATTATCAGCATAACTTCCTCACTCTTCATGAGTCTTCATACATTCTTCTATCTACTTGATTGTGACACAAAGACCAAGAAGTCAGAATAGTTCACAATAGATTTGAAATATTTAATTTACCATGGCAAGGTAAGCACTGGTAGAGAGCCATCTGTACGTACTAGCACTTTGTGTGCCATGTTACCTAATCTGATTGGCTTTACATGGTTGGAGTCAAGTCCAAACAAGATGAGATTAGCAGGAAAGGTTTGGGATCTACCAAGAAGGTGGAATAGGTTTTTATTCCCCCTCCATAATACACTTCATTCACATGTATTTTTCTAATATTTTGCAGGTTTACCTTCATGTAAAAGATCCCATATTTCATCAGGTAATTATTTTAAATTATCACACATTTGATTGTTTGGGTTTTTTTTTTTAATGTATCTTTAGTTTTAAGTGGATACATTAGTTTGTTTTTATGTGGTGCCGAGGATCGAACCCAGTGCCTCATGCATGCTAGGCAAGCACTCTACCACTGAGCCACCACCCCAGCCCCCACATTTTATTGTTTAATAGTATATGCCTGCTTTGTGTTTTACTTTTCTAATAATTATATGTAGACATAACTTTTGAAAATGAAAGAGTAGAGAGCCTTAAAAAAAATCAGTGTTTAAAACAAGAGGTTGCAAAAATAAGTGCTTATGGGAACCAGGTTTAGTTAACAGGAATATATCTAACAGCCAAAGCCAAGGTCCAGCCCTCTATTATATTCAGTAATGCAAGGGCAGGATTACTCTTACAGACAGAAAGAACCAAGGAGCATCATATACATACACACATAAAGCCTTGTATTATGATCTAGAAAAGAAAAACTGCATGGGCTGGGAGTATATAACTTAAGTGGTAGAGTGCTTGCCTAGCTTATATAAAGACCTCAGTTCAATCCCCAGCACTAGGAGGAGCAGGTCAAAGGACAGGCTGCAAATTCTTTGACTGTTTCCACCTTAATATATTTTAGTACATTTTGTTGAGGCAGGAGGTCATTTACATTGAAGGAAGCAAGCACAGGAAACTTTGTTGTAGAAAATGATGATTTAAGCATATTCCGTTATGAAACCAGAATGAAATAAAGTTGCAGACCTTAAATAAAGAGAACTGTTATTTATTGAATACAACCAGGTTCCTGGTACTATGTTGATTACTATACAGACTTCTAAATTCACCAGCTAGCCTACAAATTAGAGATTATTATGCATATTTTAAGGGAAATGAGCTCAGAGATATTAAATAAATTGCTCCGGGGTGATTCACTTATTAAGGGGCAGAGCCAAGACTGTAACCTTAGATTTGTCTGACTCCTGTCACCATTTTTTTAATAAACTTGCTAACATAAGTAAATGAATAAATAAGCAAGCAAGCACACTTTTCAGAAGTGTCAGAGGCATTGAAGTTTTTAAAATATTTTGTGCTCTTATAAAAAAAATAACATTCCTATAACTTTTTTAACTCAAGCTATATAATAATCATCTAACCAAAATCTGTTTGTTGAAATAAATTCCATAACCTTTACTGGGCCTTGCTTTTCTCCAGCCAACTGAAATTATGTACTAAAAATAGATGCTACAGGGAAGGACATCATCACCTTCTTATTTATTGTAATTTGAAATGTTGTCATTATCATCCTTTCATTAGAAAGAAATTTATTTACACAGTGAAAAACATGAAGTTTATTTATATGAAAAATCCTCAATTTTTATAAATTTTATTTGGCTTTATAAGAATGAAAAATTATAACTGCAAAATAAAAATTGGAAATCTGGGGTTAATTTTTATAATTCTATGACCATCAATTTTCCATTTTTATGTTTTAGATCTATTTGACACTGTACAATAAAAATAACAAACTTATTATGTAGCTACTCCTGCTGCAATATCCAGTAAAATAAATATTTTCTTCTATGTATAGCAATAATATTTGCTGATGAAAAGGAAATAGGATAAAAACTAGGTCTATCCATGTCCACTGTGGTTTATGCGCTAGGCCTAGACTTTAATAATCAATTTCAGAAGGACTGGATTGGTGAGGTTGCTCATCGGTAGAGCTCATAGTTAAATACTGGAGGACCCTATCTTTGATCCCTAGAGTCACAGCGGGGAAAAGGGCAAAATAGGAGCTTTCAGACAGTTGAACACATGAAGGTCCTGAAAGGTCCTGATAGGGCATGGGAGCTATGTGCACCTTCTTCCAAACCTCACCATACTCATCCCTTCATCTATATTTTTTTTGTAATATCCTTATAATAAACTGCTAAACAACTGAACAAATAAGTCTGAGCTCTTAATGTTGGAGAAATAAATATGGAAAAAGGAAGGGCCAAAACGAAATCTGGAATTGGATTGAAATTGGAAGTTCTAATATGAACTCATAGTATACAATATTAAGAAAAATATGTGGGGCTGGGATTGTGGCTCAACGGTAGAGCGCTCACCTAGCACATTCAAGGCCCTGGGTTCAATCCTCAGCACCACATAAAGATAAATAAAGTATAAAAAATTTTTTAAAAATATGTGGAGAAATTTATGATCAAAGTTAACATCTCCAGTAAAAGAACAAATAGATATGGTGTTTCTCCTAATATGACACTCTGGGAAGGACATATGATTTGTCTGGTGTTTGCACCAACAATGCATAACCTGAGTTAATCAGGAGGAAAAATGAAACAAACCCAAACTAAAGGACATTCTACAAAGTAACTTGACTATTCCCTTAAAAAACTTAAGACAAAAGAAGATTAAGGAATTGTTCTGGAATAAAGAAGAAATGACAGTAGTGGAGCACTTGTCTAGCCTGTGTGAAGCCCTGAGTTCAATCCCCAGCCCCATAAAATAGAAAAAAAAAAAAAAAAAAAGACTTAAGACTTGACAACTAAATATACCTCATAGTCTTATATTTTCTATGCCTGTGATTAATGTTATTAATATAATAATAAAACTTGAATAAAGCCCTTTGGTATTATATCAGTATTATTTTCCTAGTTAATAATATTTATACTGTGCTTATGTAATAGAAAGTCCTTGATTTTTAGGAAATAAAAACCAAAATATTTAGGGCTAGACAAAGAGATAAGTAGATAGAGCAGATGTAGCAAGAGGTTAACATTTGAGGAATCCGAGTGAAGGCTATATGGAAGTTCTTCGTAGCATTCTTGAAACTTTTATGTAAATCTGAAGTTATTTAAAATTTAAAAGTTTAAATATTGGAATGGCATTTAGATTCCTGGTATTTAAATAGTATTATAGTAATTGTATTTTAAAATGTCAGTGTTTATAGTATTTGAGAAATTATATCCATTGCAACTATCAACTTACAGTGAAAATTTTAGATTTCAGCCTACAAATGTGTAGATAGTAAAATTATTCTGCATATTAAATGGTAGATACATCTGTCCGTACCTATAGGATTGTAAACACCAGAAGTAAATCTTAATGTAAACTATGGACTTGGGTGATGATGATGTGTCCGATAGAGTCTTTGTAACAAATGTACCACTGTGGTGTATGATGTTGATAGTGGGGGAAACTGTGTATATGTGCACAGGGGCTATGTGAAAACTCGTGATATTCCTGCTGCATTTTGTTATGAATGTAAAAATGCCCTAAAAATAAAGCTTATTATTTTAAAAAATCAGAATATAGAAATGAACAAGTAGGAGGGAGAAGTAGGATGATGTTAAGGTGAAACAGGTAATCTGAGGATGAAAAACTTCTATTAATGTAACTACCCCTCCATATTTTTTCCAGAAATAAATATTTTATTCTCTGTATATAGCAGTAATATTTACTGACAAGAAAGGAAGCAGGATGAAAAGTAGGTCTGTGTATGTCCACTGTGGTTTTTGTCCTGAGCCTAGAGATTTAAAATCAGGATAGGAGGGTTGTAGTTGTAGCTCGCTGGTAGAGCACTGTTAGTATTCATTCAAGAAACATCCACTGTGTGCCTTCACAGTACCAAATTCTGAGACAGAAGCTGAAAATAGGCAGCAGAGCAAAGACTTTAAGATCTAAAGTCAAAGAAACCTAGATTCATATCTAGATTCTCCCACTTAATAGCGATAAGCTATTTTGTTTTCCTTATTTGTTTTGTGTGTGTGTGTGTGTGTCCACACATGTGTGTTTCAAATGTATTTGTCTCCCCCATGTAAAGAGCTGTATCCCAGAGACTAATACAGAGCTGAGCAAATAATGGATACTGTTTAAATTTTTGTTTTGTAAATGAATTGGATATGCCATGAAAGGTAGGGTAGGGAAAGATCATAATGCACTAATTTAAAAAAAAGTGAAGGAAAAAAAGATGATTAAGAGTGAGAAAATACAGCCAGAGTATTGAAGGGGGTTGTTTGATGAAATGCGAGTTATAATTGTGTATAAAGAACAGTGAATGCAAATAAGGTGCCTAAGTGTTCCTAGGATAAGGCTTTAAGATGTGACTAACAAGATAAATAGGAATTTGCAGGGAGTCCAGGCTGAGAGAGGATGTTCAAAATCAAAGAAAAATGAGAAAGTAAGCAGCAATTCATGCTTAAGTGCAGAGACTTTGGAGTTAGATTATCTGACTCCAGAGCTTGGGTTTGCCACTTACTACGTGACCTTAGATAAATTATTTAATACTCTAGGCCTCAGTTTTCTTACTTATCAAATCACATTAATAATAGTACCTACCTCATAGGATTGTTATAGAATTAAATGAAATAAAGCATATAATGTGCTTGTCGCTGTGCTTTACTTATAGTAATAGATGTTAGCTGCTGTTAGTTAATTGGGCTGAGAAGAGATGTGATCATGTTTGTGTATTATAAATTTGTTGTTCCAACAAAGGATGAGTTAGAGGAATGAAAGCAGATTAAATTAGGAAAGTATACAATTTAGTATTTTCTGAAACACTGCCTTCATACCAAGTACTTATTAGGTTCTACAGATAGAAAAATAAATTAGAAACTTTCTCAACCTAGGAGAAAAATAGAGCTTGGATGTAGCTCAGTGTTAGAGCATCCCTAGGTTCAATCCCCAAAACTGCAAAAACATTAATGATAATAATATAACATGTGGCTTGCTATTCATTGTATTTATATTTTGGATTTATCTATGGGTTTAAATTTTTTCAAAATAAAATGTTGGGAAAATTAGGTAACAAAAAAAAAAAAAGGAAAGAAAGTGATGAAGCCGTTATAAATACATGCTTCTATAGTACTTATCAAGGAAGAAGATTTTGATATACTTATCATGAAATTATTTATTGGATAGTCTTATGTTTAAAAGTATTTGTGAAACCAAACTCTTGATATAGTTAATATCAAAGAACTTTGTTCTATCACTCAAAATTATTTATAC